TTTCTGTTCGGATCACTTCCAATGGTAAGATTTAGATAAATTTCTTTCGTTAAGTAATTCATATGAAAGATTGTTTGACAACCAACAGCTTCGACAGGTATTTCTTGGCATTTTGATGGTAATTTTAGTGCATCATTGAATGATAGTATAACGTCAGCACATATAGAACACTGCAGAGAATTAACCAAAGTTAACTTTGAAATCGAATAAAGAATTGTAAATGCTATTGTAATGAATAACATTGCCATTGCGTTGCATACGATGAATGTAGAAAATGAATGAATGAATGACAAAGCTTCGTGATATGATCAGATAACAGGTATCTCTTTTTCATCATCATCATCATCATCATCCAGATATTACCTGTTTTTCTGTTATTGTATTATGCATCTATACATTTCATAGATGATATATGTGAAGTTATTGCATTCGCCTACTAACATATTTGATTTCTCCTAATAACCAGTGCCTTATCACTATCTTCAGAAAATCCACATTGTCGCATGTATAGTCATCGACTGACGATTAGTTAAAAAAAATATTTATTTTTATTGTCAATGAGAAAAACACAACAATAAAGTTTTCTTTGATATAAAAAGTTTCTGGGTGTAGGGATAGAATAGGATCAGTATATCACCTACATTCACCCTCAAGATGATTTTCATATCGAAATCATGTTTGTCCCAAAAATTCATATCAAAATAGCGAAAATGATCGAATAAGGAAAGGAGCAAAACAGATAGAAAATTATGAGTAGATTTTTTCTAACAATCAATGCTCATTTACGACTAATTCATTTTTGATGAAAGTTGTATGAAAAGCTAAAACAGCATTTGCTCTATTCCGAAAACTAAAAACTATTTTTGAGACACTCTGGAGATAAGTTGTAGCATATTTCCTAAGAACATCAACATTCGTGATCAAATTAGGATTTTTATTCTATATATTACAAAATTTAAAACAAAAATCTTAAATGATTATATCTTCAACATGCCGAAGTTAATTAACATATCATGAATAAATGATTGTTGTTTTCATTTGTTTCCAGTTGACAATGAATACAATTCATCAATTCAATTCGACAACCGACTGATAATATATCGATATACATCGTACTATTTTAAGTTTTTTGGCATTTTACGAGATCTACTTCAACAGTATGACGACACACTTAAACTCAATTCTTGGTAACTTTTTCATTTTTATTTTTTCCGATTTTCCTTCTTTTTTAAATCGTTTTATTCCACAACTACTACTTTAGCTAATATTTTTTTCTTCATTAATTACAGGAAATGCTCCCGTAAAAAATTAGAAACATAAAAATATTTAAGGACGTCATTTATATACATACATATATTTGTATATTATCTTATCGGTCGGCTATGCCCATTTCGTTTTGATTATTTACAGAGTTGTTCTTTGTACGCGCGCGGGCCACGGAAAACAGAATTAATTCAAAAATAAGTGAACAAAATATTCTTTTATTTACTTATCAAATAATCTCTATAATTTTTTCTTTTACAGTTTCAATATACTCTTTCACATCTTTAATATCAAGATGAATCGGAGGTAATGCACATTGCCCTGTATCCAGTGCACGCTCTAAATATGAAAGAGCTATCAAATAGTCTTTCATATTGTAATATACCTTAGCGATATTGTTGTGTGAAGTAACTAATGAAAGATGATTTGAAGAAAAAGTGCTCAATTTCAAGTGCTTCTTCATAAAACGAAAGTGTTTTTGACTACTCTCTCATGTTGCCACACATACTACCGACATTATTGTATGGAGTAGCCAAATGAGAATGATTTGAAGAAAGTTTTTTTTATCGCATTTCAAGTGGACTTTCGCAATAGTAGATAGTCTTTTCATAATCCTTTTCATTTCAATGAACATATCCCAGGCAAGTAGGGTGTAAGATGAATATAATATTCACGCGCACATCCACACCCACACTCAAAACAAACATGATTATTTCTTTGCATCATGCGGTGTGCAGTTAAGAAATGAGGGTAATTCTTTCGCTCACATAGATGTCCTTCCAATTTTGAATATTCATATCTACTAAGCAGAGACCCAATAGCTGGAGAACGAGCTATTTAAATAGATTCAGTGATTTAAATAATTCATTCTTTACACTCAAGAACAATACGAGATGCCATCATCAGTTTTTTTAAAGCGAAAGTAACCAAAACTATAAAAAGAGATAAATACAAATTAGAAATACAACAAGTGATCTCTCACCTAAAGTGAGGATGTGTATATGAAAACGATATCTTGTCACACACATCACAGCTCACAGCACACACACACTTACGGTAATTAACATTATCGGTCTCTGTGTGCATTCGATGTTAGTTAATATTATTTAGAAGATGTTTAGATTTCTACTCCCCCGATCCATCTACATTAACTTTTATTATTAAATCAAGATTTTTTCAAAAAAAGACCGAAGCAGAAAATAAAACGCATAAAAAATTACCATTGTACGCAGTCACAATGCCGCCAGAATCCACCATTAGTTGGTGCTGAACAGGGTGATCCGGGATCCATACAACACAGTTTACATTGACCTCCCATATGAACAGCATGTTTGAAACAATTTTGTCCAATTAGTGAATTCATTTCACACATAATAAAATAATAACACGAGTTCGATGTCATTCGACATTTTTGATTAACGCACATACCGTGGCAATCAGATTGACTTGGAGGCATAAATTGAGGATTTGGATTGCAAGTGTTTGCACGATTAAGTCGACTCTCTGTGTTTGTTGGTTTCAAAATGGTATTATCTTTTCGATCATAGAATATTTCTCCGGTTTCCGTCATTCGATCTAAATCCTTTTCATCAACTGAATCAGCCCAATGCACTGGCAGACCAGCACAAGCTTGTTGAAGTTCTAATCGAAGATACGATGTATTTTGAATGGTTTCTTCTCGTTCTAGTTTGAAAATATGTATCTCTTCAACACCACTAGCATCGATCGGAAGATCTGGTACTACAAACCCGTCTCCACTCGACTCACTCAAAAATAATCTTGGATAAGCGATCTTTGTTTCTTGTTCCATGTTGGATAGCTGACACTTTTGATCTTTGACATTCTTAATCAATTGAAGACCTGAATGAAAATCGAGATAAACAATGATATGAGGTCGATCACCATGTTGTGGTACTTCTAATACTTGAAGATCATCATATTGTGAGATAGTTTCTTGGATAAGCATTCCATTTTCGATGATGTCAATATTACGATGCTGATTTAATGTTGCAACGAACACAACAAAAGTAATCAGAAGAAAAGCAACGATTTTCATCATTTTCAATATGTTTGTCTGTTAGAATCAATTGTTAAATATGATAGTATGGTTCTATCGATAAAGGATCGGATTATTTATATATTTCGATCATTTCATTATCTTGTTTTAAAATCTCAGAAAAAGTCATATGATGCAAGGCAGAGATAAGTCTTTCGTAGAAAAACATTATCAAACACGTATAATTCTCGGAAAGAAGTGCTTATGAGAGAAAGGAACAAGTGAAATTACTAAAGATACTTAAAAAACTTTGAGAATATGCACATCTGTTGAGAACGTGTGAGAGAACACAATAAATGATAAAAATGTGTGCATTTCTATTTATGAGAAAGAACAAATATTATTGTTGAAATAGAAATGATAAGAAACCTGATTAGCAGAATCAACGTCATATGATATCACTACCCGAATGAGTCATTAACGTAGGCAGAAGATCAAACATATAAATATATACGACTTTTTCCAACAAAACAATGCCGTCTGATTGAATGAGATCTATGTTTTATGTGCAGTGGCAAACTCTATAGTTTATATCATATTGAGATAGTATAAAAAGAATAAAACAAAACTCTAAGAGAAAATAAGTAACGTCTATGATAAGAACGGAGAATCAATATTGACTTACATGTGCGTGTTTCTCTTTTTTATTTCTATGTCGTTGAAGTAACATAAAACATTTTTTTAGATGAATAGTTTTGTTGTAAGCGTCTTGCTTGCATTCTCAATACTTGTTTTAATTTCTAATGCTTCGAATTGTGGCATCCGATCGAAATCTAGAATAGCAGGCGGTGATGAATCTGCCATTGGTAGTTGGCCATGGATGATTTCTTTACGAGCAAAAGACTTTCCTCAACATCTTTGTGGAGGATCATTAATCCATCGAAAATATGTGCTTACAGCTGGTCACTGCACTTTTCTTTTTCTGCCATCACAATATGAAGTACATATTGGTCTTCATTATCAAAATAGTACAGATCATTTTATTTCTCCTGTAAAGACAATTTATCGTCACTCGAACTATACATCAACAGTAGAATTTTCTCAAACTGTCTATGATTTTGCTGTTCTCGAACTCGAACGAGATACAGAAGATAAGTTTAATACCATTTGTCTCCCGACGCTTATGGAAAATTTGAACGTTGCTAGTAAAATAAATACGACAACATTGGGTTGGGGAAGAACAAGTCCTAATGCTACGAGTTTATCTCAGACGCTGCAAGAAGTCACTTTAGTATTGCTGAATAGTTCTTCAAAAGAATGTATTAAAACTGATCAAGGACCATTGATTGTCAACGATTCATTACAGCTTTGTGCTGGACGACTTGAAGGTGGTTTTGGAACTTGTGGAGTAAGTAAATACAGAACTGATATCGAAAAATTCCGCTTGAAAAATACTTATGCAAATTTTTGAACTTATAGAATATAGTTGAGTTAAAATAATTATCCAAATTTCCTTGAATAGATGGTAGTCATGTAGAATTAGTATAGAATACTATACATAAACCTACTGTTTTGGAAAATATTGTAATAGGTTTATTTAAAAACTATTTTATTTAGTAGCAAATTAATACTTGAATGCATTGATGACCTTGATTCTTTTCTATGTATCTATATATCTTGAATTCGTTGAGGATAGATCATTTTAACTGTACCATAAATAAGTAAAGATATTGTTAAGGTCGCGCTCTCACCGTGAAAGATCAGTGTTCATTAATTTTTTTATATTTTTTTGATTCTTAATGCATTAGATAGAGCAATGTGTTCCCTATCCCACCAGATATAGTTTATTAGTTTTGTAACAAGTTCTGAAATTTTCTGTTAAAAACCTGCGAGTTTTTAAAAACTTAGTGTGCGCTTTTTAAAATATGGATTTTTTTCAGTATCCCCATATTTCTAAACTTTTTTCACTACTTTAAAAAAATGTTACAGAGTTGTAGTTGTTCTCAAAGTAAAGAGGAAGGTCAGGTTCACAATTTAACAGAGCCAGCCTTTTGAAATCTTTTCTATTACATTTCATGAAGCTTCTATGATATGCAATATATATCTTGTCGTTATTTTTCCTTTTTGTGTCAATGTTTATTTGTATAAATATAGAGCGATTCTGGAGGACCTTTAATGGTACAGTGTCCTCTTGATAGTCGTTGGTATCTTATTGGTATAACATCATATGCATGGGGTTGCGGTTTACCAGCATCACCTACAATATTTTTACGTGTAAGTGCCTATATACCTTGGATGACGGAAAATATACCAGAACTTTTCATCATTCAACCATCTTCTACCATGCCAACGACATTACTAACAACAACAACAACAACAACAAGAGCAACAATTTCAATTGAGCAGACTACAAATTTCAATCCAGCATCAAGTGTTGCATCGATCAAATTTATAAATAGAATTTCGAATGTTTGTCACGGATTTTATTCGTTCGTATTTGTGACTGTTTTCATGTATATTCATTTTTGATCAAATTCTTAATAAAACTTTCCATCTTGAGAGTGTGGGCGTTATATTCATCTTACATCCACACTCACACCCTCTCACAGGTTCTCAACAGGTGTATATCTTCTCAAAGTTTTTTTAAATATTTTTAGTAATTTCACTTGTTCCTTTCTCATAAGCACTTCTTTCCGAGAATAAATGTATTTTATAATGTTTTTCGAGGAAAGGCTTATCTTTGTCTTACATCACATGGCTTTTTCTGAGATTTTAAAACAAGATAATGAAATGATCGAAATATATAAATAATCCGATCCTTTATCGACAGAACCATACTATCATATTCAACAATTATTCTAACTGACAAACTTATTGAAAATGATGAAAATCGTTGCTTTTCTTCTGATTACTTTTGTTGTGTTCGTTGCAACATTAAATCAGCATCGTAATATTGATATCATCGAAAATGGAATGTTTATTCAGGAAACTATCTCACAATATGATGATCTTCAAGTAATGGAAGTACCAGAACATGGTGATCGAGCTCATATCATTGTTTATCTCGATTTCCGTTCAGATCTTCAACTGATTAAGAATGTGAAGGATCAAAAGTGTCAACTATCGAACATGGAACAAGAAACAAAGATCGCTTATCCAAGATTATTTTTGAGTGAATCGAGTGGAGATGGATTTGCGGTACCAGATCTTCCAATTGATGCCAGTAATGTTGAAAAGATACATATTTTCAAACTCGAACGAGAAGAAACCATTCAAAATACATCATATCTTCGATCAGAACTTCAACAAGCATGTGCTGGTCTGCCAGTGCATTGGGCTGATTCAGTTGATGAGAAGGATTTAGATCGAATGACAGAAAACGGAGAAATATTCTATGATCGAACTGAGAATACCATTTTGAAACCGGCAAATGCAGAAAGTCGACTTAGTCGTGGAAACAGTTGCAATCCAAATCCTCAAGGATTGCCTCCAAGTCAATATGATTGCCACGGTATGTGCGTTAATCAAAAATGTCGAATGTCATCGGAGTCAGGTTATTATTTTATAATGTGTCCAATGAATGGAAATATTGGACAAAGTTGTTCTCAGCATATGCTTCATATGGGAGGCCAATGTAAACTATGTTGTGATGACCCCGGATCATCTTGTTCAGCACCAACTAATGGTGGATACTGGCAGCGTTGTGACTGCGTCAAATGGTAATTTTTGTATGGGTTTTATTTTCTGCTTCGGTCTTTTTTAAAAATTCTTGATATAATAATAAAAGGCGAAGCAAATGTAACAGGAGATTAGAAATCTAAACATCTTCTTGAGGGTGGGTGTTGGTGGGGATGTGAGTGTGGGCTTGGGACGGGTTGCGGGTATGAATGTAAAACAAGAAGGGATATACATCTACACCTACATCGTTAATTTTTAAAATTAATTTAAAAAGTACTTATTGGGTTGATATTCTCTAACTGTGTAACTCGTCAAGAGTCCAAACATATGGCATAAACATAGGTAAAAAAATGGATATGGAGTAAAGACTACGATTAGTTTGAAAATGGGCCATTTGTTATAGACTACATGTTAGTTTATAACAAAATGAGCCTTGTTCTTACTTATGCCGATACTCATATTTATTTTTCCTCGCTTTTATGACTTGTGACTGATAATAAACAATATTTTTTTCCACACATGTAGACTTTCATATTATAGAAAATATATTAACATCAACAAATGTAATGATGCTAACGATCATTATTTTCTTTTTTATTATGTACAAATTTTCTTGCATTTTTCATAGTAAATTAAAATATATTTCTAAATAATCTTGTATAGAAGATCTGTTATTTGGTAGACAGAAGCACATTCTAGCAATGCTATAACAAGATCAAAGATCAAGAAACATTAAAACTAAGAAAAAAAAAAAAGTTCTTGAATTTTTCTATTACACCTACGGAATCAAAATTAGGTTGTCAAGAGCAGAATACTATTCTGCTTTCTGACGTTCTTTTTCTTTAAAAGAAAATTTTAAATTCCATTATGATTATTCTCACAACATAAAAGTATTAGATAGGACATCATGAGCAACACTATAAATATCATTATCGATATATTTGTTCTCATTTTTGTATTCATTGGAATTATAACTTCGACTGGAATTATTTTTTTACTCTTCTATTATCGACATCAATTCCACATCACAACATCAACTTATCTCACTTGTAATAATTATGCAGCTATAATACTCTGTTGTCTATTTGGAATAGATACATATATTTATAATTTGTATGGTGATTTATTTCAAAATAATTCTTTTAACAATTGGTGGTGTCATGCACGTGGATATCTTGTTAGCGTTGTATACAGTTCACTTTATCATTCATATGTAATACAAGCATGCTTTCGTTTATTTCGTATAGTTTTTTATAAATATAAATATTTACAAAATCATCGATTCATGATTAGACTTGTATTAATTCAATGGTTAATTGATTTTATTGTATATATACCTGCTTTGTTTCTTCACTATTATGAATATACACCGAATTATTATTATTGTCAATTAGTATACACTGATATTCGTGTATCAATGTACACCGGTGTAATCGCATATATTTTTCCAATGAATGCTATTGGATTTATATACTTCTATATTGTACATTGTATAAAACGAATGGGAAATCTAGCAATTTATCCTAATCGTCAACAATCAAATCAACGAGATCTAACTGTTCTTCGTCAAATTATAATACTAGTTAGTATGCTTTGTATGATGGGTCTTCCTGCAACATCATTATATTTATGGTACATTATTACTGGCTATTTATATCCATTGATTTATCAATTACAATGGCTTGCCTTTGCTGTTTCATTATCAATTTTACCTATACTAACAGTGTTTTTGACACGTCAATTACGTGAATTATTCTATCGTGCATGCGGACGAGGTCATCATATTCATCCTATGATAGTAATACAACAGCATAATCTCAATTAAAAGAAGTAAAAAATAACAGATAAATATACATATATCTTTATCTTAATAATAAATAATATGAATAAGTCTCTAAAAATAGACAACACAAGTAATGAATAATCAGTTGTTATTAACTACGCAAATAAGAGATACTTACTAAATTCTTATGAATAATACTCGTTCTTGTTGATATCTTGATAATACAAGAAAATAGATAATACATATATGTATAATCCAGGACACATCCATATAAATACGCAAAAGAAAAAGAAACTCTTCTCAATTGATAGCTTATAACATACGATGAAGCTGTTAACTATCTTTATTGTTATTGCTTTCATTTGTGCAATACAATCAATACCAACGGTACATAAAACATTATTCTAATATTCACAATATATTTTTTTTTTGTTAATTTTTAATAACAGCCATCTACATCAGGCCGACAAATTATTCTACCAGATTATAATGCAGAATATGAAAATTCTCTTGATGACGATGACATAGATTCAACAACTACTACTACTACAACAACAACAACTCTTCCTTGGGCTGATTCATTTTCAAGAAGAACTCGTAAAACCGTTCCAACACGACAACCATGGCTGGTAAATATTCCGAAAAAAAAATAATCATTTCATAACAGCCTTTTCTTTATTTAGACACAACGTACATCATCAATGAAACCAATAACCGTTATTATAGATGAAAATACAAATGACTACGAAGGTGACTACAGATATTTTGGTAGTTTTCGTCAATTGATTAATAAAATTATCGAAGATTTAAAAAAATATATTAAAAATGTCACTGGATATGATATTATTACAGCAATACAAAAATTCTTCAATAAAAAAAATGAAGATTAAAAAAACACTTTTTTTGTTTGTAACTTAGCTTTTTTGACCTTGTATTAAAATAGTTTTTCGACATATATGCTTTGAAATTAAATTCAAGACAATGAAAGTAGTAATCATATGCTTGTTCAATTTAACAAAATGGCTAAACTGACGCAATCACGTTTTAGAGTGACTCTTGAAGGTCATGTTCAATCTTAAAAGCAATCGATAAAAAAAAACCCGTAGAGAATAGAAGTAATATATAT